TACACACACACACACACACACACACACACACACACACACACACACATACACACACACATTTGCAAACATGCACACAAACACATGCACACACATGCGCACACTAACAAATTCTAAATCACAATCAAATAGGTGTATACGTATGTCTCCACGCGTACGCGTGAAAGCAAGAGTCGTTCCCCTTTGATATAAAAAAATAAATAAATAAATAACCGTTGTATTTCACGTAACATGAGCAACGCATTTTGTTTATCAAACCACCAAACCCCGGATAAGTGTAAAACTCCGAAGTTTCGTGGCGACCAAACACAGTCATTGCAACAGCTTCCGACCTGAACACGTGTCCCCACGTCCACAAGTCCAGCTGCAATCCTTGAGGACCCCCCTCAAGTCGCCGGGTTGAGCAGGGGTCCCAGGCCTTGCCAGCGTGCACGCCGCTACAACAGCTCGGTTGGCATCGACCCTCCTGGCATCGATCCCCTGTGACGTGTGGCCCAAGACTTCGTGGCGGACCTTGGGTCCAGGTGGCGCTGCTCTGGTTGGACGAGAAGATTCAGCGGACTCGTGGCGGATTCGCGAGTTTAAATACCTGATTTCTCCTCAAGTCTTCCTCTCTCATAGCATCCCTATAGAAGCCGCTGGCTCGTAGCTTGGTCCAACACTTTTCACTAGATATCTGGTAAGTTGGAAATGGAACTTTATTTTTTTAAAGAATAATAGAAGATGAAGTTAATCAGACTTAAGTAATTGTGTGTCTTGGTTGACTTCAACAAGTTTCTTGGTGTTAACATTTTAGGAAAGGCTAGTATTGTTTGAAATGTTTCGTTTGTTGTTATAATCTTTGGCAAATATCAAATATTATTATCTTCAGATATATTGCTGTGATTTTCATGAGATATTAATGAAAACATACACGTCTGAATAATGTTGGGTTTACATTATTAGATACTAACTATATAACGCGCTTTAGTCCCCAGTCTCGAATTTGAAATGAGGGAAACTTTACTACTGAAAAGTCGGAATACAGAACTTTGCAATATGGCGATATTGTTGTTCCATAGTGAAAAACAATCGGTGCACAAGCATACTTTCTGAACGAACATAAAGAGAAAGATAACCGATTCATGTCTGAGCTTTTTCCCCTCTTTGTATTTATTTTGTTTACTTCATGAAAGCTGCACGAATATAACTTGAATTAAATTTTAAAAGCGTTTTCTTTTTATAATTTAAAAGCAATGTCACAAACATAAAGATATCACTTACAGTCAACTCTTTGAGGATTGTAAAAGCGCTCAGCTTTTTTTGTAAGCTTTTCTTCGATCCTTGTTGATTTTTTCCTCTTTGTCTATGCTCCCACCCCACCTCTAGCCGCGATACCCAAAGTATTTGACCTCATCTTTCTTGTTATCGTAAATGTAGATACAATAAAGCAAAATATTGCCAGCGGCTTGATGTCACTTTTGTTAATCGTCTACCATCTGAAATTATAATCCCAAAAGATTTAAAAAATCAATAATCTGTCCACGTTGCAAATAGGCACACCCGTCAAGACAGTTGGTATTATTTTCATGCGTGCTTTGCAACGGTAGGCAGAATTGTGTGTAAGGATGAGCTTGTACTGGGGTATTTTGTGAAAATTTTCGTGCATGTTTTTAGTGATTCCAATTTATTAATGTGTTTCCTTTGTTGCCTTTGTCTAAAGCGTGTGTCTATTGATTTGTCGATGTGACTCATATGAATATCCTCACTGAATGAAATCAAAGAGACACCAACCCATGCCATTCAATCATTTTTTCTTAACGGTTTTCTAATCGGTTATAGTCTGTTTGCATTATCTATAGTATTTACCTTTTGTGAAATCGTAAGTGAAAGCTGCCACTGGGGCGAGTGAGGTGGTAGACTTGTACGAAAGCGTGTTTTTTTTATTTTTTTATAAATCAACTCCCCCCTTCCTCAGAAACGCCGAAATGTTTCTGTTTCTGCTCTCGGCCTTCACCACCCTCCTGGCGCTAGGCGCCTGCGACAAAAACTTCACAGTCACCTCTGAGGTGGTGCTGGAGGTAGAGGTGAAGAATTACAACGGTCAAGGCGATGACATTAGCGGACAGGTCGTGATTGGTCTCTTCGGGGACACAGTGCCAGTTGCATCCCTGAACTTCAAAACTCTTTGCTCCGGATTCAAAAGACCAAGTGTAAGTGGCATTGTTTTATATATATTTAATGTAGATGGAACGTGTCTTTGCTTGGAGTCTAAAGCAGTGCTGGGATCTCTTTCAATTTTAACGTTACGTTCACTGATAACTTCTGATATGTGTACAGGTTCTTAGAGAGATGTCCGTGTTAACTGAAACTTAATTACTTACTCACTCCACCGCTGTACTGTCAGGTAATAAGGCAGTGGGCAGTCGACGTCATGCTGGCCACGTTCTCAAGATTTGACACATCCTGGCCCTTGGTGATTGCCTCATCTCTGACCGTACCCCGAATAACTGCCACTTGATCTACCTCTTCTTCTTTTCGATTTTGGTCTCCAGTGCCATGTCCGATTGGAGCAATCTTATCTCAGATATTCCCAAAGCATGCCCCAAATGTTTCCTTCTTCCTTTTTTAAGTTGTACATTAAGTCCCAGCTCTTTCCAACACGTCAACACCTGTGACAAACTCATTCCTTTTTTTAAATAAAATTCTTCGAGAGTATTTTGTTTAACAGCTTTGTAATGTTTGTTTAGTTATTTTGTTTGTTTTTCTGAACCATGCATCAGTACTGCTAAAACATTGCCAAATTTTTAGTTTAGTCTTCAATGATAGGATCTTTGAGATCCAAATGACTTGCAATGTTACAAAAGCGATCCGTGCATTTTAAGTCTTAGATGGACGTCGTCAGTGCAGTCTGCTGTTTTGAAGACAATGCCACAAAGGTACTTGAATGTATTAATTTCTGTCGAAGGTTTGCCATAAAGCATGATGGGAGTAGCTTCTGGGGAAAATCCCTACACTTCGGTTTTCAACGAATTTAAAAGGCCAGCTTTTTCTGCAGATCCTGCCAATTTATTGTTTGCTTTTTGGTTGAATTTCAAGCGCTGTGAGGTTCAATAAACCAAAGATGTCAACAAAATGTAAATCTCCCATATATCTGCCATTTGCATGTTTTAATGTATCTGCTCTTTCTTATTACAAAGTCAATTATAATCTTAAAAAGTACGTATGATAGTATAATCTTGTCTAACTCCAGTATTTGTTTCAAAAGGCGTGGACAGTTCTCCCTCAACCAGGACACAGCAACTTGCCTTTGTATATAGTGATTTTATACTGTTTATTATGTCTACTGGGATGCCATAAATTGCAAGATTCTTCCCCAGAGCAGCTCGATCTATGCTGTCAAAAGCCTTTGAAAAGTTCACAAAATTCAAAATAATTGGGACACCCCATTGATTGCTTTGTGTTAATCGTATAACACAAACAAAGACACAAAAAAGCTGTATCTGTCGATCTCGATTTCACTTTTGACTATACCGGTGTCTGTGGTGTAGCAGTTAGGTGTTTAGCTGTTGCACACAGGAGGCCCAATTTCGATTCCCTAGTGGGAGAGAAATTTTATCGAGTAATCAAGTATCTCGGTTATTCTACTGGGATGTTAAATCACTCTCATCCAGGATTGACCCTTACTGGCACAGTTGGAAGATTGCCTCATTGGGTTGAAGCGAGCGGAAAAACACATACATGAAGAACTATTTGTAAACTTTTACCTTATGATTCTGTATGCATATCATATTTTACTTGGCATGAAATGTAATGTTATGATCATCATTATCAAAAACTTATAATGTATGACGAATTGCAGAGCCAAATCAACGCAGGGAAATCCAGGAAGGCACGTAGGCAGCAGAGACAGGTCGGCGGATTCGGAGACGGAGAGGTAGATTAAATTGGAGAACGAGAGAAAGGGAGAGTGAAAGAGAGAGAAAGATATTATGACTTGTAAAACGTTTCCTGCATTCAACAATACTTAAATATAGTGACTCACTTTCATTAATATATTGATGTTTTATCACCCCATTCAAATAAACCCCTTAAATACATTAGCTAAAAGTTTTGCGACCTGTTCAATGACACCCTCCCTCTCTCATAATAATAATAGTAAAAATAATAATAATAATTTTCTCGTTTTATTTATTACCGTTTCGCATTTCAGGTAGCCAAACTGTTCTACAGAAACATCTTCTGCGTTTTATGACCTCTCCCTAAATGACACCCTGCCTCTCTCCTCTTCTCTGTTTATTTCTTACCCCCTTCACATTTCAGGAAGTCAAACTGTCTTACAAAAACACCTACTGCCACCGTCTTGTCCGTGACATGCTGCTCCACTGTGGAGATGTTTTCGGAACTGACGGACATGGAGGTTAGTGAAGATTATGATCCTCGTCACTAAAATTCTTACTAAGTTGAGGGAAATGGGGACTGGGAGATCAGGGTGTGTGATCGGCTGGGGGGG